TTAAGAAGCCATACTAACACCCAAGAGGGAGTTCTTAACTGTGTCTAGGAAGAGAGAAAGGTTCATGAAGAACATGGCCCCTAGAGGAAGAAGGTCCTGAATGAGGGAGGGGTTGGTATTCATGGTGTCAGAGGTACACAAAAATAAAAATCTGAGAAGAAGAAGCTAGAGCATAGTCCAGAACCATGCAGTCAAAATGGAGAGGTAGAAGGACTCAGGGGTAGCACAGGGGGCTGGAGCCCACAGCAGGTACCATATGAAAGATGTTCCGTTTCCACTTAACAGAGCCAGAGGTGCCAAATGCAAACCAATATTTTGCATTTGACCAAATGTGGAATTTTTTTATTTTTATGTTTATTTTGTTTCTTTGTTTTTGAGACTAGGTCTCATGTAGCCCTAGCCCTCCGAACTACTATACAGACAAGAATGACCTTAAACTTCTGATCTTCCTGTCTCCACCTCCCCATGGGATTATAGGTGTGCATTTATGCAGGGCTAGAACCTAAACTCAGGCTTCATTAATCCTAGGCAAGGTGCTGTACCAACTAAGCAAAGCCTCAGCCCCATTCACCTAGGGCATGCATGTGGACACATGCCTCATGCTTGTGCACACATGTGTGAAAGCCAGAGGCTGGGGTTTCATGTCTTCTTCTATTGATCTTCATCTTATTTGTGAGAGAGGGTCTCACTGAACCTGGAGCTCATAGATTAACTACACTAGCTGGCCAGAAAGCTCCAGGGATCCTCCTGCCTTCGACCTCCCAACACTGAAATGCACACCACACACCAAGGCTTTATTCATTTTTTATTGTCACTTTTGAAATCGTGTCTCACTGTGTAGCTCTGGCTGCCCTGGAGTTTGCTTTATAGACCAGACTGGGCTCATACTCACAGAGAACTGCCAGCCTCTGCTGCCTGGGTATTGGAATTAAAACGCGCAACCACCATGCCTAGCAAAGAACACTGCCTCTATGTGGGCGCTCGGGGTCTGAGCTCAGGAACTCTGGCCCTCATGCTCAAGTGGTAGGTACTTGACCCACTGAGCCACCACTCCAGCTTGCTTTATGTAGCTTTTGAACTATTACTTCTAGGACTGACGACAAAAATATCGAGTGAGGGCCAGAGAGATGGCTGAGTATGGGCATAGTCTATGGGAATGCGCACCTAAGGCTTTCAACCTTAGCGCTCTCTCCAGGTCCCACACGACAGAAGGTGAGAACCAACTACCTCAAACATTCACAGTGACATGTGCATGCCTATATACATATAGAAACAGACACAATAAATAATCACATTTAAGAAAAATCTATAGTGATGACAGAAAAGCCCACCATTGAACATATGCGATAAAAAGATTAAAGTTCAAGTTTTATTTTTGGGGTTTTTTGTTTTCTTTTTATTTTCTTTTGTTTGTTTGTTTGTTTGTTTGTTTGGAGACAGTGCTTCTCTGAGAAGCCCTGGCTGTCCTGGAACTCACTTGTTAAACCAGGATAGCCTTGAACTCACAGAGATCTGCCTGCCTCTGGAGTGCTGGGATTAAAGGTGGGCACTACCATTCCTCGTTTAGGTTCAAGTTTAATTTAACTAAGTGTCTTATTATCCAACTTGAGTAAATAGTGACTTCTTGTTTGGGCTGAGCCTAATACAACGTGGCGACTCAGCTAAAAGATACCCACGTAGACAATGTGAACGACATACCTGACTACAATTTCCACACAAAGGCAGGGCTCAGTCTTTAACTGTCATTATTTCTGTTTGATTTTTATTTTGTTGTTTTTTTTTTCCCCAAGGACATACAGCTCCAAGATCTGATGGTAACAACAACTTCAAGAATATTGTGCTATGCTGTGTCAATCTGCATGAAATCTGTGCTGAACTTCAGGGCTGTATGGCTTCCTTGTAGGGTGATCTGAATTATTTTTCCCCACTTTATTCACTCTCTCCCTTTCAATGACAGTAGAGTATCATCCCCATATGAGAGTATAAAGTACTATTTTTCTATATAGTACTGGTGAATGTCAACCTACCATGATACACTAGGGAATATTGTTCAGGAATGAGCACATGGTGATCCTAATTTTTAAGGGCTGTAGCTAACTTCAGGAAGCATTAATGAACAGTGAAGGTCGACTGATATAGTAGAACAATGAAGAAGACATTGTGCCACAATAGGGTTCCTCCTTTGACCATTTCTCTTGCCAAGAATCCTGCTTACGATAGCCATGTCCCAACATCTTGTCAATCCTGAAAATTTGTCTGTGGCCTCTACTGCCTTGCATGTCCGTGTTCTTTCTTTCTTTCTTTCTTTCTCTCTCTCTCTCTCTCTCTCTCTCTCTCTCTCTCTCTTGGTTTTTCCAGACAGGGTTTCTCTGTGTAGCTTGGAGCCTATCCTGGCACTCGCTCTGGAGATCTGCCAACCTCTGCCTCCCGAGTGCTGGGATTAAAGCCGTGCGCCACCAACACCCGGCCCATGTCCGTGTTCTGTGAGAACACCTCACAATTCATTCAAATACTAATTAATTTCTACTCAAATTTTCTGCCCTGCCTATCATCACCTTTCACTATGCTGACTGGACTTGTGGGTAAATACAGAATCTCACCCAAGAAAGAGGGGAGTGAAAAGACTCTGGGCACTTGTATTTTATATGTTCAACCTGTTACACTTTTAACGTCACTAGGGGTAGGGCACAACTATCTTTGAATATAACTTGGGCCATTGTGGCCTGTGTAAACTTAGGCTAGAACCACTCGGGACTTTGACTTCCTTGTTTGTGAAATTGGGATGCTTTTCCTTTTCCTAAGAAGAGTATTGGTCACTAAAGGTGAAGAAGCATTAAAGTATAATAGGCTAAGATGAAGTCCATGAATACAAATCAGGCACATCTGCCCTCCACGAGCTCTCGGAAGCCCACGTAGACACCACAGCTATGTGAATGATAAACCTGACTACAATTTCCACAAAAACGTCTAAGTCTGGTAACTCGGCAGGGCTCAGTCTTTAACTGTCATTATTTCTGTTTGAATTTTATTTCCTTGGCTTTTTTTTTTCCAAGGACATACAGCTCCCAGATCTGATGGTAACAACAACTTCAAGAATATTGTGCTATGCTGTGTCAATCTGCATGAAATCTGTGCTGAACTTCAGGGCTGTATGGCTTCCTTGTAGGGTGATCTGAATTATTTTTCCCCACTTTATTCACTCTCTCCCTTTCAATGACAGTAGAGTATCATCCCCATATGAGAGTATAAAGTACTATTTTTCTATATAGTACTGGTGAATGTCAACCTACCATGATACACTAGGGAATATTGTTCAGGAATGAGCACATGGTGATCCTAATTTTTCTTACTGTTTTGCAAAATATTTCCTTAACAAAACTAGTAGCACTTTTTCCATTTTCACTTTCCATTAGTTTATGCATGCATTATGTTGTGTATTATAGCATATCATAACTGTTTATCCTGTTGCCATATAATCATCCAAATTAGTATTATTTTTAATGGGCTTTTAATCATCTACCGTATTAATGTACTATAATTTGCTTAACTTAAATTTGCAACAATAGACTTGTTTCCAATTTTTCCTGTAGTATAAATAACCTCTAGGTTACAGATTTTTGCTCATAGCTTCTTTCATTTTTCATATTTTTCCTTTGGGTACATGCCTAGGAAGGGGATCACGAGATAAGGGGATATAAATTTTTAATGATTTTTAAATAAATGGATGTTATTTTCCAGTTTACAACGCCATGAGCAAAATATTAACATTCTGCTCACATTGCAACCTTATGAGAAGGGTGTGTGGCTATTTGATGTTTAATATACCAATTACCAGAGGACCTTTTGTTTTGCATTTTTCTCATAAATAACAAGTTTTAATCAAACACTTGCTTGCAAATTTTGAATCTTCTTGTATTTTGTAAAGCCACCTGGACTCAAAGACCTAGGAATTCTTTTCCATCAATAACTCCTGTTGTTGCTCAATAATTTTATGTACATTAAATAAAATTAATGTTGAATTCTTAGAAAAATATTCACGTAAACTCATAATAATCAGTTATTGAGGACCTGTGTGTAGGGCAACCTGTAGCCACGCCTGCTTAGGAGGCGTGGTCAGGGTGACGTATAGTAAGAGTTTGAGTTGGCTGAGTTTCACTTTCAGTTTTCACCCCTTTCGGCTTGCATACAGACAGATGCCACACCGCCTGGCTAGGTCGCTCTGTAATAAGGCTTTTCCCTTTTAAATACCCTTATATTTCTACTGTATTGGTAAATTCCCACTATACCTGTGTGTGGAGAACTGTGTGTGGAGTAGCCAGATAAAATAATGGAAAAATTAGAAAGTTAAATGAGGATAACATATCTATTCCAGAATTCCAAAAGTCCAAAGGAGGACTGAAGTTCATATAGTTCTAATCTCTAGTCAGATTTGAATGACTTTTTCTTTCTAGCCTCAATCCCACTTGGTTTTCAGTGTGCAAACTCAGGAGTGCTTAATCATACTGCTAAATATTTCCTTCTTGATTTTATTCAAGAATTCCTAATGAAACTATCACTCACACACACACACACACACACACACACACACACACACACACACACACACATTCTTGTGCCATTTTCAGATGCATAGTGCCCCCGGGGCTGGTATAGGCGTGCAGCTCTAGAAAATGAGATGGATTCCCAGCCTGCACCCCTGTTGAGGGGCTGGATGCCAAGTCCAGAGACCCAGTTCTGCCCTCTATTCCAGGCAGTGTGGCCTGGCTCGTGAAATGGGCGTCTTCTGTGTTTTGCCAACTGGTGCAAGGATGTTTCATGGCAAGCTGCTAGTAATCCATCCTGAGTTGAGTAACCGTCATCTTGGCAAGCCCTTTCTCTCTTCTCTAAAGGTGTTAGGGTTTCTTTAAATAAGATCATTGTTACAGGCTGATATGTTCAGACTATAAAGAAAATCGCTAACCATGTTTCTCTCCCCCCCCCCACTTTTTCCCTTCTTGCAGCCTCAGTGGAGGGTTCTCCATAAACACGTTAGCCTTGCAAGCTGCTGTCCTGCCAGTGGAAACTGACATGGCCCGTTCCCCAGAGAAAGACATACTCATGGTACTGCCAGAAGAGATCCTTGGAGCACTTACAGATTAACTGGATTAACTGAGAAAATGCCCGTTCAGTCAAGATTATGAAGTTTGGGAAGAGAAAAAATTCTTGGTTTGCAGTGGATTGTCAAATGAGGTGCATAACATATATCGCCAACTCGTTCCAAGTGGCCATTGGCAGACCATTAGCTGGAAAATTGCTTCCAGTTTTCATCACTGTGCATAACTCAAGTTCCCCTTGGGCTCTGTCTGTGCCCTTCACTAGAAGTCCTGTTTTAGCATGGCAACTACTGGATTATTTCATTAAGTGTGCAGATGGCATGATGTCTTAGAAAAAAAATACAAGAGTCTCAGTGGAAGGGTTCACAATGTTATGCCCTGGTAGGAATGTAAACGTGTCTTGATTGTGTTAGTTACAATGTCCAAAGGTGTTCTGTCTAACGCTGAAGCACTTTATATGAGAATGCTACACTGAGATGAAATAGCACATTTGGTCCATGTAGGAAAACAAATGTTTTCTCTTTTCTTTACAAACCTTGTCTTATTTCTGGCTCAGACTGTCCAAGACAAACTCCACTCCTAGTCGCCTCCCAGTTGTCTGTGGTAGATCAGTGTAAATATGGCCACAATACTGTTAGATTTCACTTTCTGACACTTTACTGGATAACTGGATTACTTATAGCACAAAGGGAAGTAGACGCTCGCCAGCCTGGTGACTAGACTATTTGAAGTCTTGGTTCCTTGGACCCAAGCACAACTTAACACATGACATCATGACACTCTGTACAGTATGCTGCTCCTTGGCCGATGCATACACTCTTCTTCTATAGCGGAGATCTTCCAAACACAAAAACCATTGTGGACTGATGCCAAGGGAAGCAGAGTGCAACCTTCCTTAGTGGTCCCACTTCCACACTTAGGAAAACTTCCAGAGGTCAAGTTTAAGTCACAATTCTGGAGAGAAGCATCAAATGACGCTCGCCCAACCCACCCTGTGTGCCTAGAGCAGTAAAACATCGAGCCCACACGAGGTTTCTTCCCTATTAATACTTCCTGGGATGTATATATGACTGTTTTTTCTTTAATTCTGTCTAACAACAAAGCACAGTTCTGGGAAAGCTATCCATTCAGTGGTTGCTTTCCTGAACACTAGAGAAGTAATCTTTCATATTGATTGCCCCTTGTGATACATTAGCATCCTTTCCCTGGAAATTGAAACTTGGTTGAATCAAAACCTCAGCAAAGTGTGTTATGAGTGCTCACTCACCTAACCTGAGAGCATTAGGCATCAGAGACTAATATTTAAAAGAGATGTAACAACTTCTGGTACCCTTCCAGCATAAGCAAGCAAGACTTTTGCATTGTCTCCAAGCACTCATTCTCTGTCTCCACTTGGGGTCTCAGGCGGTGGAAAGGCCTGAATGGGAAGCACATAGGATATCTCTCCACAGAATGACACACATTCTGTCAGATGTGGGCTATAGGAGGGCCTCCTGATAGGGAACTCAGAGAAATGGTAGCCACCATGAGATCTGGACTTTTCCTCGATCACCAAAGACCCATCAAAAACAGACCACAATTCTCTAAACTGGTAACCTAAACCCAGGCTGCCAATGTTCCCGCCCTACGACCCATCCTTTTGTCTTAGTTCCAACAGCAGGGTTTATGCATCCCTTCACTCCTCCTTTTCATTCAGCAAGCATCTGTTGAGGGACCACCATGTGCCAAGAACCATGCTGGGCCAACTCTAGTATATAAGGCACACTCTTCTAATTCTATTGAGTTATTTCTTTCTCTCTTGTCCCACAGTGCAAATTCAATTGAGACATTCATACCCCCCCACCCTTGCCAGAGAGATATAGGAAAACCTTCATGACAGACATCAGGCAGGTCCCATTCCCGAATGAGTGGGCAGCTTCAGAACACATGGAGAACCTCGCTAGACAGCCAGCTAGGTTGAGCAGAGCTTCCCACAGCAGCTCTCAGTTGCTAGCTGACCCCAGTCTCTCCTTTCTATAGACACTAGCATTTACCACTATGCTGGATTCTCTGAAATGCCAATCCTGTAACTACTCCTAAAGAGCCTGAATTGGTTCTAATGAATCCTATAAATCCTGCCAGGTGCTGAGATCTCGGAGCTGGGAATTAACTGGTGATGCTCTGAGACTCCTGCTAAAACCCTTGGAGAACTGGTTGCACAATGAGGTGCAGATTCCACAAAGTGATCATGGGCTACTGTTATTTTGGCTTTTGCAAAATAATCTGAACAATTAAAAACAAGTTGCCTCTTTTTTTTTTTTTTTTTTTTTTGCTGTTACTGAAACCTAATGGGTAAAGATGGAAATGAAAAAGGGCAAAATAAAGGCCCTTAAAGAGCCCAGTTGTAAACAGTATCACTAAAAAAACAACAAAAAAAAATGCCTTAATGCCTGGCACTACCTACTTATTTGCATATGAGCCCACACTGTTTTCCAAACTGTCGACCTCTGTTTGAAATCGTTATTGGTTTGGAAACATGATGGCATAAAATCTGTGCATGCACAAGCAAAACCAGAAAAATGGAGAATTTCATTCACCGCCTTCAGCTTCCTTGTGTGGAGATCCTCTGTGAGATTGCCTCATGGTTACTTCTTGCTTCATTGTGTGTGTTGGGGGGCGACGCAAATGAGTGTGAAATTTTACCTACCAAAAATCCAGGCATCTCTGTGGTGGGTTTTGTTTAGGAAGAAAAGAGATATGAGGAGCTAAGGGGTAAATGTGTTAATATGTAAAGACTGTAAATGATTGAGGCTTAAGTTTTTCCTTTCTCTTAAATCTGTGCTACTAACACTCACTCTTGGGAAGGAACCAAAATGAATAATTATCAGACTCTTCGGAGTGCTGAGGGGATTAGCTCTGTTCAGATCCAAAACCAAATTTAAATATGCAGAGCATCATAGTTCTTCCGATGGGGTCAAAAACAAGATTGCACCAGTAGCTTGAGACTTTCCTAGGAGGGATAGGGGCCCTATCAACTTTCTTTATGGGACGTGGCTTACCTTCAAATCCCTGCGCTAGCTCCGAGACATGTCTACCCACCAATTCGATTTCTACCTCCACAATACGGGTAAACATGCTAGGTACTCTCCAGAGCCACTCTGCAGCTGCCCAAACAGAGGCATAGAGTCCTCAGCGCTGAGGGAAATGGGCCATTTCTAACATTCAATGGGGAAGGAATATCAAGGATACCTGTGAATATAAACTAAGGACAAGACCCTCTAATGGATCCACCCCACACAGCCTAAATGCTTTCTTTGTCTGCAAATATCACGTAATTGGTTTTGGATAGCAGCAATAAAAGTCGCAAGGAAGTAAAGTTTTCAAGACACTCCTAACACTTTTTTTTTTTAATCCAAACCTCTTGCCCATGCATTAGCAGCTTCATTCTTTGTCATGTTTTCTTCTGTGTTCTTTTGAGTAATGTTGCTACATAACAACTAGATTTAAAGCTGCCATAGACTCCAAAATCTAATCTTTGAAAGTGACAAAAATATCTTTACTTTTTAAAGGTTTTTTTTTTTTTTTTATCCCCCCCCCCCCGGCCCCTTCCCCCCCCCCCACTTTTCTATTTATTTTATGCGTGTGTGATTTTTTTTTTAAATTCTCTCCTCTTTCTTTCACATAGTGCTCTAGGTATAGTTCAAGCATTCTATAAAGAACTCAGACAGAACCACATAGTCCTCACCAGTTTTTTCCCCTGTCCTGACTAGTAATTCAGTCTTAAGCTTGACTTTGATGCTGCCCAAGCAGCAGTTGGGGCTCCCATTTTCTTCTCCAGAAAGTCACTGGTCAGTGGTGATCATTTATACAAAGCCAGTGGGATTAGAGAAGAGGGCAGGCCAGGAGATAGATGCACTTGAGCACAGCTGAGGACTGTACTTCAAAGACAGGCAAGCCTTCGCCTCAAGCCCCTTAGATCTGGGTCTAATCCTGGAGCCAGAGCATGGTCCTGTGAACTCTGGTTTACCAATAGAAAGAACTTCTGAGAGCTTAAAGGTAAAAGAAGGCTGATTCGGTTATGTTCTTCTGGAGATGTCTGTTAGCTGGGATACAGAATAGACTTCTGAACGCTTTGGGTGAGGCAAAAAAAAAAAAAAAAATGACCAAGTGTACCTCCTCTCTGAAGGTGGCTCCAAGGTCAGTATCAGTGACGACACCTTTTGTCCATCTCTTTAGTTTCAGAGGCAAAATCCTGGATGAGGAAGTGGGAAGGGACAAGTGCTATTTCTAAATTCTAAAATGTGTGGCATGGAATTGAGGTGATGAAAAGGAAAAGAGAAAGAGCATCCGACATAGACCAGTGCCGCTCCTCTGTTCCACACCAAAGGAAAAAGAAACGACTTCTACCAATCAGTGAAACCTGGTCATTCAAGGTTTAATAAAGCTGTTTCCTTTACCAAATAAGCCTACTTGAGAACCATAAGCATCCAAGAATTCTCCCATCAGAATGCCCTTTCGTACTTATTTCAAGCATTAAAAGACACCAGTAAGCTACACTGACTACCATTTAAAAGTCACTGGCGGCAGGACTCACGCTGAATCACAAGTCAAGTAACATAATGATACCAGCGTTGTTGGTCTTTTGACGTTCCTCCTGATCACACACCATCTTCAAATTTTGGAACTAATGGTTTGGGAGATTTGGGTCAATCAATTTGTTTTTTTCCAAACCTCAGAAATTTCTAGTAGCCTTACAAAAGACCTTAGAACTGAACCTTTCTGCATAAAGTGTCTAGTGTTTGCATAGTGGCTTTGCAGAAATGCTACAAAATCTATTGAGCTGGGCAGTGGTAACAAATGCCTTAGGAGACAGAAGCAGGTCGAGCTCTGAGTTTGAGGCCAGCCTGGTGTACAGAGCAGGCATAGCCAGGTATATACAAAGAAACCCTGTCTTGGAAACACCCCCTCCCCCCCAAAAAAAAAAAGAAGAAAAAGAAATTTTCCCCAACTTGTAGATGCTGTCTCTTAAACCAAATCACTGAAACACTGGAGAGTGCTGGTTGCCTGCCATCATGTCCACAACCTTTTAGAATTCAATCATTCAGATCAAAGGAAACAAACAGTTGAGTCACAGTTTTTCCATATTAGCATAGACATAGTTATCAAACGCAGAATTATAGTTTTGAGTATTTTAAATAACACACAAATTGGTTTGGTAGACTTGCATTTCATCACTCCCGCCTCTTCTCAAGTTCTATAAAAATATATTAAAATACTTTATGCTAAAAAAAAAAACTTATAGCAAGAATTCTTACTGTAATAGATCATTATTTCACCCGGGAAGGAAAAGCAAATTTTTCCTCCAATTCAGTATCATGGGCACTTTAAAGGTTACTTCTCTCCCACCTACAAACTGAGCATGCTCTGTTGTCAACTCCTGAGAAGTGACCCCAGCTTCTAAAGCAGCACCAAGACCATGAAGGACCATTTAAACACACTAGGTAGACTGCATGTTCAAGCATAAATACAAAAGTAGGGTTTGGAATTTAAGTGGGTTTGAATATTGTTGAATCAATTATATGTATGCATATGTATACATATATGTACATACATACATTCATACATACATACATACTTGCATACAATCTAACCACATTGGGAGCTGACCTCAGACAGTTTTGGGCAATCCCCTGTCTGGATCCCATGCAGTTAATTCAAGACAAGTATATGTTTCCTCATATATCTGTTGAGGAAATAAAACATGTGCCAGTCCTTCTAAAAAGGTCTCTGGTGGATCTGGGGATGGTATTGATTTAGTGATGTTGGCTGAG